TTTTGGGGGGGGGGGCGCAAAAAAAAAAAAGAATTTTCAAAATACCCTCTGAAGTTGAGATATGTGCGAAAATGTCCCTTAAAAACGTGGGTAGAGCGGAATGTCCTTCTAACAAAAATAGTATTTTGCAAAATACCCCTGACGTCGGTTGGACCTCCATCTTTGCAAAATGCCCAGTACTTGCCAACTTCTCCTAGGTGCTATTGCAAAAGGCCAAGGTCCAAACGGGGAGGTCCAAATTGTAAAGTTACACACCCAACTGACAGGGGCACAACGCAAAGTTTTCGGCCCAAAAGGGCATTCTGCTCTATCCACATCTTTCAGGGGCATTTTGATATGTCTCAACTTATAAGGGTATTTTGCAAATTGTGCCTAAAAAAAAGGATGATGGTGAAATAATGCATATTCTTATCTCTGGCAAACCTCCATTGTTTTGGCTCAATGGGTTAGTCTCAAAATTTGTAGCTTTAAGGCTACGGCATAAAGTATCTCCATATTTGAGTAGTTTTAAAGTTGCAATATATTGGGTATCAACTTTATGTCGAGCTGGTGCAACTTTTCACGAAAGACCACTACACAAAAAAGGATACAATGGTGGTGGAATTTTTACAATGACTGTTTTCTTACATTTTTGTGGATCAATAGGTAATTAGTGGTCAAATCAGTACCTTCAAAATTTGAAGGGTTCCATGAATTTCCATTGACCTTGACTGTCAGGTTTTTGATGAGAGGGTTTGCGGCGATTACTCTGTGACATAGGTATACCAGTTGTGGGAAATATTTTGCGGTTGCACCTATAAGATTGCCAGTTTCTTTTAGGCAGTGATAGGTGCTATGCCTATTTGCTCACAAAAAGGTGCATACAGAAAGGTGAATTTTTTTTTTTTTTTCCCTCTTTCTTCTCGTTTCTTGTTCCCCCCCCCCCCCCCCTCTCTCTCTCTCTCTCTCTAGAGAAGAAAAAAGACATAGGCTCTATGTTCCCTATCACCGCTATAAACCATTGGACAATCAATGTCATAACCATAGAGGTTTTGCACACAAAAAAGGAGACATACATGTCGTGCAAGAACAACGCCCTATGGTCGTCAAGATAAAAAAAACACCTACTAAAACCTACCAATTGACTTACTGTGAGGGTACGAGTGCGCAATCCGTAGCTCGTTTGTTGATGCGGTTGGGGAAGGATGAGGTAGTGATTATGGTGTACGTATGTTTTGCTATGTTCGCTGTACACAATTCGAATAATGTGTGTGGAGGGTTCCGACTGGTGATCTATTAACGATGTTCATGGGATGCTGGACCCAGTTTCCAGCAGGTACCGCTCCCCACCAATAGGCAAAAAAATGTGTGTGTGTGTGTGTATGTGTGTAAGGGATATATATATATATATATATATATATATATATATATAGAGAGAGAGAGAGAGAGAGAGAGAGAGTCCTATCACATGCACCATGTAAGTGGTGGGGAGTACAAAGGCAAGCGCTGACCTCGGAAAAAAAAAAAAAAACGTATTATGCGATTAGAACACAAAAGTTTTTCCTTTTTAAAATTCAAGAAGAAAGGGTGCATGTTGTATTCGAACAGAACAAACACGTGTTCTATTCGAATTGCTCTTCTATTTGAGAAAAGTGGACCCACACGGTTTCAATTTTGGAATGTTCAAAACTCAAGGACCGACCTCCTCGGCTTCCTACAAGCAGCTACTGGTCCTTCGCATGCCCCGCCCCTTGCTAAGCCCCAAAACCTCAAAATGCCCACCCTCCCGACGACCACCGACGTTGAAATTTTAATGACGTTAAAACGTCTCAGGGGGGGAAACGCAACCTTGATGGGCTGCGAACACTTAGACCCGTGATGACCAAAGACCCTACCAATAGTGACCAGGGGAAGCAAGCTAACAAAGAGAGAGACAGACATAGATAGATAAATAGATAGATAGATAGATAGATTGATATATATATATATATATATATATATATATATATCATCAAATATACATATATATATATATACATATATATATATATATATCGTCAAATAGAACTGCCCGGTAAACCGTAGGCAGAGAGGGAGAAGAGGACAACAAACAAGGGGCTGTGACAAACTGTTTATATATACATACAGGGTTACCTGACCGAACGTTCGGGCGTCGGGGTCCCGTTCGGGGGCCGAACACCTTCAGGTTCGGCCCCCGCCAAAAAACATTTCGGGGCCTAAAAATAAGTTTTTTTTTTCTCAAGTTTGTTTTGTGCGTTCTCTATGATGTAACACGCCTATAAATTTTGAAGCCATTCTGCTAGGGCAAAAAAACATTAAAAATCGTCAAAGATGGGGGTGTCAAAACGTGCTCGTTCACTCACTATTTTTTTTATTTTTATTTTTCACTTTTCACTTTTTTTTTTACGTTATTTCGGGGCCTAAAAAACTTTATTATTTTTTTGAATTTTTTTTAATGAGTTACTGATTATGTAAACTACATATCTGTAAATTTTCAGGGCATTTTTCAATGCCAAAAAATAATTAAGAATCGGCAAAGATGGCGGTGTCGAAAAGGTGTTGGTGCACTCACTCATTTTAATTTTGTTTTTATTTTTTTTAATTTTTATCATAGTGTTTATTTTCAGTATTTGATTTTTAATTCAAATTTGGTAAAGAATTTGGATGTAGTGCCCAAGCAAATGTTGTTTAGTTTAGTTTTCTCCATAACATATATGTTTTTCGGAATTGTTTGAAAACGTTTTTTTTTTTTTTTTGCCCGCGTTCGGCCCGAACGGCGGAACGTTTTCCGAAGGGGTCCTGTACGTTCGGGCGTTCGGCCCGTCCCGAAGGGCGGCAAACCTGTATATATATATATATATATCACAAACAGAACTGTTCGGTAAACCGTAGGCAGAGAGAGAGAAGAGGACAACAAACGAGGGGTTGTGACAAACTATTTCGTATATATGTATAGGGTTGCCGGCGTTCGGGACGGGCCGAACACCCGAACCCGAACGCCTGAACGTTTGGGAACTCCTCTCGACGCGGTCGGACGTTTGGCCGAACGAAAAACTAAAAAAAAAAATTAAAAAAAATCAGTTTCTAAAAACTATGAAAAAAAACTATGTCATGCAGAAGAATAAACTAAAATATATTTGCCTCAACAGTACATCCAAATTTCTTATCCAATTTGAAATAAAAATCAAATACGATAAATAAATAATATTAATAAAAATAAGAAAAAATAAAACGAGAATGAAATTATTGCATGGGTGAGCAAGTTTTTGACACCGCCATCTTTGGCAATTTTTTATTTTTTTGGGCTTTGTCAAATGCCATGAAATTTTATACATCTGTATCTTACATCATAGAGAACCTACAAATAAAGTTTGAAAAAATAATATTTTTTTTCAGGCCCCGAAATAAAGGGAAAACAAAAAGTGAAAAGATAAAAAAAACAAATTAGTAAGTGGGAAAGCATGTTTTGACACCACCATCTTTGCCGATTTTTTATTATTTTTTGGCTCCACGAAATGATTTCAAAATTGAGAGACAAGTAGCTTACATAACAGAGAACTCACAAAAAAAAAATCAGAAACAAATAATAATTTTTAGATACCGAAACAAGTTTTTGCGGGGTCCGAACCCCTTTGAGTTCGGGCCCCGTACGGGGACCCGAACGCCCGAACGTTCGGGGGTCAGCTTAGGGGCCTCCGTACGTTCGACCTGGCAACTCTGTAGATAGATAGATAGATAGATAGATAGATCGATAGATAGATAGATAGATAGATAGAGAGAGAGAGAGAGAGAGAGAGAGAGAGAGAGAGAGAGAGNGAGAGAGAGAGAGAGAGGCAGACAACGAGCAAAATGGGCACATGTGACTCACTCAATCGGGCGCTGAACGTGTGGGGGGTTGAATATGTCCATGTTTAGACACATCTGTTTTTACTTGCAAATGCAATGTAGGCGTGTCATTTCAACCTGTGGCCAAGGCTGTGTCCTTTCCGATTCATACTTTCCACTTTCACACCCTGCTTTTGCTTTGCCACCGTTTCGACCAAAACCCAGTGCGCGGTCCCACGGGCAGCTACCGGTCCTGCATTTTTGAAAGAAACTACCACCACCCCCGAAGAGATCCACCCTGCCGCTGCTCTGCCACCGTTTCGACCAGAACCCAACGCGCGGTCCCACAGGCAGATACCAGTGCCGCATTTTTCAAAGAAACTTCCACCCCCCCCCAAAGTGTCATGCCTGCACCTGCCTGCATTTTTTGAACCTTCCAACGACCAAACGAGCCCAAATCAACGACCGGTATAATGAAGGACGATGAAAATGTCTCGGCGGGAAATGTCTCAGGGGGGGGAAAATGCACTCCTGACGGGCTGTGAACTAGAACTGAAGCCTTTGGGTACCGGTCCCAGTCTTCCACGAGCCCTTGATGTTTGCACACAAGAAAGATGAGCCTTGTACCGCGGCCTTTAGGGCTGCAAACTTTGAGCAACATTTGCCGGCCGGCTTTTATGGGCATGCATGGGCCCATGTTATTGGGCCATCCACTGCCCCCTCGTAAATGCGCTATTCGTACCCATCGCCCTACACGAAACGGATGTGCCCATGGGCGGTCCAAAATGGCCAAACGATCCAGAAAGTTCTTGTGGGATCAGCGGCATGAACGATTACGAATCGTGCAGACAGGTGGTTCAAGCGGCAGGTATGTCCCCTCAGGGCGACATCCCACCCATCATATGCATTTTCTTGGAAAGCATGAACGTGGTCGTCTTTATAGCGGTTGTTGCGGGACTTGGCCTCACGTAGGCTCTGGGGGCATACTCACACACAACACATGTTGGGATTTTGGCCCCCGAAGTCCTCCACCGTGAAAGGACTCACATACGGGCTTCAGTCCTGCTGCCCCAAGCCGAAACTGCATGCGAAGCCCTACCTTAGGTCGATTTGATTGACAGCGAACGGGAGAGGGGCAGGATCGAAAGCCGGATCTCCGCTTTTGGCGGTGGAGTGCGAGGTGGCGCCATCGGCGGGACCGTGAAAATCGGGGTGGATCAATCACGGGTCCGGGTCCGCGTTTTTGCCTTCCCCCTCCACTGCGTACCTTTGGGTGATAGTGTCCTGCCAGGTGGACTGGTGTGGTCGCGGACGCGTGTGAGCGGAGGACGTGTAATGTCGGTGAGATTCGTTGCTTGAGCTGAGGGCAAGGCAGCGATGGCGGTAGATCGCAGATACCGGTGAGGGTATGGCTGTGATGGTCGCCGATCTGCTTGCTTTGATTGACTGGATCTTCTCCGTAGAGCTGTCGTCTCTTGCGAGGTTGATTCCATTTTGTTCCACGTCGTCGACTCAGCAAGGCTACACTCAGTAGGTCGGAGGGCATACAGCGAGTTCAAGAGGCGGGTGACGTCATTGTTCACGTGCCAAGGGCCAATCGTCGGCAATTACCATCCTCGTCAGCATTATCATCATCATTACCAATATCATTATAACGGTCGGAAGCTGGTGGTGTTGGCATTAAAGCGAACTATTGATAGAGGGACGGAATAGGAAATTGTAAGCACGAGTAATAGAATACCATAAGAAGTATATAATATATAAGGAGAAGGAAGAAGAGATGGAGGGCGGCGGAGTGACGGCTTCAACGGGCGTGGCCGGCGCACCGTCGGAGGAGACTCTCCGTAATTACATGCAGTGTTTTCTGCAGACACTAGCGTCCAATCCCGAACCAAGGAGGCAAGCGGAGGCTTTCCTCAAGAATGCATCCTTGCAGCCTGGTTATGGGACAATCGTGTTAAGCCTGCTAACCTGCGATTTCGTGAATGCGGAGATCCGGCAAGCTGCCGCCGTGAATTTCAAGAACTACATCAAGGCTCGATGGGCGCCGGCTACTGAGGGAGGAGAAGGAGGTGCTGTTCCCATCCAGGATGCTGAGAAGGAACAGATCAAATCCGCGATAACTCAACTGATGCTAAACACGCCGCCGTTGATTCAGGCACAATTGAGTGAGGCGCTTTCGATCATCAGTAATGAGGACTTCCCGGATCGGTGGCAGAGCTTGCTCCCTGATCTTGTCTCTCAACTGAACTCTTCAGATCCCGCTGTCATCAATGGCGTTCTTCAGACCGCCAACTCCATCTTCAAGCGGTTCCGCTATCAAGTGGACACGCCGGAGCTGGCTCGTCAGCTCAAGTACGTGCTAGACTTATTCACGGCGCCGATGCTGGCACTGTTTAAGAGAGTGGGGGAGTTGATTGCCGTGGGAGGGGCGTCGATGGATCCCGCGACTCTTAAGAAGCTGCTGGAGTCTCAGCGTTTGATCTGCCGTATTTTCTTCTCGCTCAATTGGCTGACGCTTCCGGAGGTGTTCGAGGATCACCTAGATGAGTGGATGTCAGAGTTCCGCAAGTACTTGGTGTATGACGACAATGGCGCCTTGGCTGCGTCAGGCGGCGGGGGAGGCGCAGCAGCAGCAGCAGGGGATCGTGGGGGGGAAAGCGTGCTTGATCGGTTGAAGGCGGCGATCTGCGAGAACATCAATCTGTACATGGAGAAGTACGAGGAGGAGTTTCAGCGTTTTCTCCCGACGTTCGTGAGTGATGTTTGGACGCTTTTGCTCAACGTCGGCACTTCCACTGCGCGTGACGCCATCGCGACGACGGGGATCAAGTTTCTGACAACCGTCAGCAGGAGCGTGCACCACGCGTTGTTCCAGGACCCCGAGATCATGAAGAAGATCTGCGAGAACATCGTGATTCCGTCCTTGAGAATCAGGGAGGAAGACGAGGAGTTGTTCGAGATGAATCCTACGGAGTATATTCAGCGCGACATCGAGGGCAGCGATGTCGACACGCGGCGGCGCATGGCATGCGAACTCGTCAAGGGTTTGGCGAAGCACTACGAGGGGGAGGTGACTCGTCTCCTCTCCGTTTACGTTGGGGCCATGCTCGGCGAGTACGCTGCCGATCCCGCGCGCAATTGGAAGGCCAAGGACTGCGCGATTTACTTGATTGTGGCACTGGCTGTGAAGCAGAAGACGGCGGCTCAAGGCGCCACGCTTGTGAACGCGTTGGTAGATGTCGCGGAGGTGTTTAGGTCGCACATCAAGCCGGAGCTAGAGGCCGCCGACGTGAATGCGTCGCCCATTCTCAAGGCCGACGCTCTCAAGTTCCTCATGATGTTCCGCAGTCAGTTGCCCAAACCCCTCTGTCTGGAGATGTTCACTCATCTGACGAGGCACTTGGTGTCGGAATCGAATGTGGTCCACTCGTACGCAGCCTGCTGCATCGAGCGCTTGCTCGTCGTGAAGGATGTGACACCTGCAGCGGGCGGTGGTAATCAACCTTCCACGGGGACGACCTCGGTGCCAAGGTTTGGACCGGCCGACGTCGCTCCGATCGTCCAACCCGTGCTGAGCAACCTGTTCACCGCGTTGACTTTGCCCGATTCCAATGAGAACATGTATGTGATGAAGTGTATCATGCGCGTGTCGTCCATCGGGGACATGAAGCCGTACGCTCTTACGTGCATTGCGAAGCTGGCGGAGATCTTGGGGACCGTTCTGAAGAACCCTACGCAACCCGTGTTCAATCACTACTTGTTCGAGTCCATGGCTGCGCTCATCAAGCACGTGGGGACCGTGGGGGATCCAGCGGCGGTATCGCAGTGCGAGGCGCTGCTCTTCCCCGTCTTCCAGTCGGTGCTGGAGCAGGACGTGGCGGAATTCGCCCCCTACGTTTTCCAGATCTTGGCGCAGCTGATCGAGATGCGCAGCGTGCCGCTCCCGCAGGCGTACATGGCCCTCTTCGCTCCGCTGCTGAGCCCCGTTCTCTGGGAGAGACCCGCCAATGTAGAGGCGCTTGTCCGGCTACTGCAAGCCTACTTGCAGAAGGCCCCCAACGAAATCATTCAGGGCAATCAGCTCCCGGCGGTTCTGGGCGTGTTCCAAAAGCTCCTCTCCTCCAAGCAGACAGATCACCACGGACTCTTCATCCTCAACACCATCGTCGAGAACCTCTCTCTAGACGTAATACAGCAGCACATGGCGGCGATCTGGAGCATGTTGTTCTACCGCCTGCAGAACTCACGGACTGTCAAACTCGTCAAGTCCATCATCATCTTCATGTCGCTCTTCGTGGTGAAGAACGGTCCGATCTCGCTTGTCAACGGTATCAACGCCGTGCAGCCCGGGCTCTTCGATGGCTTGCTACGGTCCATCTGGATCGCGAGTCTGCCGTCTATCTCTGGTAAGGTGGAGACGAAGCTGGCTTCGGTGGCGATGACCAGGCTGATGTGTGAAGTGCCTGCGCTCCTCGACGACGGCTCGTTGGGCCTTTGGGCGTCGATGCTGGATGCGACGGTGACGGTTTTGCAAAAGTCAGACGAAGAGAAGGAAGCGGGCACGCCGGTCGATGAGGAAGATCTAGAGGAGAGAGGTGGGTACACGGTCGCCTACGCCAAGCTTTATCACGCCAGCAAGGCTTTCGAAGATCCGGTACCGGATGTCCGTGATGGCAAGCAGTTTCTGGCGACGTCGTTGGCTAGGCTCTCGGCATCCAGGCCAGGCAGGATACCTGGTGTCATTCAACAGTCTGTCCCGACGCCAAACAGAGAGGGTCTGCAGGAGTTGTTCAGGGCGGCGAACGTCACGCTCGTCTAGTCTTTTCCCTAGTGCAGGTTTTTGATGTTGGCGTAATCATTCATCATTTGATGTAATAGCCCTAATTGAACAGTCTGTCCCGGCGTCAAATCAAACAGAGGTGGGGGGTCTGCAGGAGTCAGTTAGTTCAGGGCGGCGAATGTCCCGCTCGTTTAGTCTCTTTTTCCTAGTGCAGGTTTTTGACGTTGGCGTAATCATTCATTCATTCGATGTGTAGTAGCGCTAAATCAACAGTCTGTCCCGGCGCCAAACAGAGGGAATCTGCAGGAGTTTGTTCAGGGCGGCGAATCTCACGCTTGTTTAGTCTCTTTTTCATAGTGCAGGTTTGATGTTGGCTTAATCATATTGATCTGATAGGCGTGATTCAGTTGTAGTAGACGAGTAGTCGGTCGGGACGCTCTTTATCGTCGCTGCTCATTGGTATCTCGGCAGCAAAACGTTGAGGGGTATGACTTCGGTAAAGGTTATGTAGTGGATGGAATGAGTCTGTTAGGTTAGGGTTATGATGGGCAAAAGCGCATCGGGGAGCAGTAGTTGCCCTTGGGCCTCGCCACACCACTCTTGAAATGTGAAAAGGACAAAAATGTGGCGGATGCATCTGGCCTTGTTCTAGCGGGAAGTTCATTCTCATTTTGCACATTTCAAGAGTGGTGTGGCGATGCCCCTTGTTTGCCGGAAGTAAGTAGGTCTGACTAAACATACGGTTAGAACGAAGAGAGAGAGAGAGAGAGAGAGAGAGAGAGAGAGAGAGAGAGAGAGAGAGAGAGAGGGGGAGGGAAGCAGGTAGGTTCAGGTTCGACTAAGGTGTGTCGCGGAGGCTCCGCTGATGTTGATGTTGATCGCGTCATACTTCGCGCGCCAGGATGACTATGGACGACGCTTTTGTAGAAAGAGGATGCGGAATAGAGAAGAGGCTTCGGGGATCACCATGCTTAGTTTAGGCCGTTACAATTGGGGATGTGTATGCATCGGAGACAGCGGAAGAAGGTAAAATAGAGAGGAAATCACAAAATAGCGCGACAGAATGAAGGCCGATCTGAAGTTTCACGTGTTTTATTAAGAGTAATGTGCCATGCTAACGATATGGAGGATTGATTGATGAAGCCAGCGTAGGGTTGTTATGTAGGACTACTCTGGAACCAGGTACAAAAGACATTGCGAGGGGTATATTATGATTTGTGTCTATTGAAGTGGGGAGAGAGAGAGAGAGAGAGAGAGAGAGAGAGAGAGAGAGAGAGAGAGAGAGAGAGGATGCGGGAAGAAAAAGATGGTGTAATTCTGTCGATGTGGGTATGGGCAGAAGGGAGTGAAAATGAGGGGAGGGGAGGGCGGCGTGAAGTGGGGAGAGAGAGAGAGAGAGAGAGAGAGAGAGAGAGTTGGTGATGTGGGAAGAAAGATGGTGTAAATCTGTCGATGGGGGTATGAGCAGAAGGGAGAGAAAAAGAGTGGCTTGCTGTACGTTTGTCGACGGAGAATTGGCTTGTGTTCGAGAGGAAGGAAAGGAATTGATCAATGTGATTGCCCGCGTTATGTGCTAGTCGCTGACGATATTAATGTGTGTGTGTGCCACATGCGCTGGTCTAGGGAGGTTGGCATCTGTGTGGAGTTTGCGACACGATTGGCGGGAAAGGCAGGACGGGTTGGATGGGTTGAGTGGAAGATGAGGGGGCAAGGAGAAGGAAAGTGGGTTAGCCTTAAGAGGTGGGTTGCTTGCCGTCCGCTTGCTTGTGTCACAGTGGAAAGGGAAAGGGAGGGGCAATCTCCAGACTGATCGCTCGTAGCGGAGAGGGCAGAATGCGATGGGGGAAATACGTGGAACGAGCCATCGTCTGGATTAGCATCATCGTTTCTGTGGAAGACTGACGTGTACAGCAGGAGAGTAAAAGGGAGTGTATCGCGGAGATGGGTCGAAGCCCGACCGGGGGAGCGGCTAAGTGTGTCATGGGCTTGGGAGGTGTTGGGAGGGAGGGGGCTGGTCGAGCAGAATCGCGTCTCGTTGCTTGCTCGTGAGGCCTTTACCGTACAGCCACATTGGGGTGGTGATCGATCAGCCATTGGGTTAGGGTTGTGAGGAGCCACATTTCGGTATGACATGCTCATACTTGGACACTGTGGCATGAATCTCGTCGTAATTACGTGGCAGATTCGTCCAGGAAAGTCCAATTATGAGTATGTACCCCCAGGTACGTGATCTTTCTCTTATCTTGGGCCTGGTCGCTTGTGATCGGTTCACTACCTATGTGCGCAGACACATTCTGTCCTCTCCCTCTCCCTTATATCAGAGAATGTGTCAGCAGCCTTATATGCTCTATATGCGTATGCGTCGTTCTTGTACTTGTGTCGGTAACCGGCAGTTGGCGGGCAATGATTCGCGGGGAATCCTCAACAGGGCGGTGCGCGGGGGAGAGAGGAGAGGTCGTTCCCCGAAGTCGGTGATCGTTTGCTGTGCCGAGTTTGTTGCAGATTTTTCTGCTCCATTTGGTCTCGGTATGATTTTTTTAAGAACGTTTTATGTGACTGAAGTGGTTGACTACTTTCGAGAATCTGAGATTCTGCACTCGGCGGCAATATCGCCGTGTTTGTGCGCACCTGCCTCATGGAATCCTTTTTTTGGTTCTCCCCCTCGAGTGCGTCGTTCTTTTTTTCCCTGCCTTCTTGCTCTTTTCTCTTCTCCATGGCCTTCTCTCAGGTCCGTGCCTAACTCTTAACGCCTTCAGTCGTGATTACTCCAGGATACGTATCGCGGAGTGGAAGGGTGGGGTGTTTTGTCGTGATGCGCCAGCTCATGTTGTCTAGAGCTATAAGTGCGTCTTTGCCAGCCCCCTTCTCTTTTTTTTTTTTTTTTTTTTTTTTTCTCTTACTTTTTACGAGCAAATTCTTTCCTTGCTTGTGGTTGCGTGAGGCATTTGTCTTTTGGATCGGCATCGGCTTTGCTGATGGTCCCTCGTTTCCTCCCTGCTTTTCCTCCTTCCGCTCTCCCTCATAGCCGCCCCAGTCCCGCGGTACCTTTTCTTCTCTCTCTCTGTCTCTCTCTCTCTCTCTCTCTCTCTCTCTCTCTCTCTCTCTCTCTCTCTCCCGTTTCTTCCTCCGTTCTTGGATTGAATCTCGTCCCCGTTCAGCGGTCCCAGCGCTTTCTTTTTTTCCTTTTTTTTTTTGCAAACTTGGCTTTTTGAGTCGATAGATATGCGGCAGTATGGGCCTCTCTCCTCAACACAGCACTCTACGTGCGTTTGGACGTTGCTTGGCCGGATACATCCGAAATGTTGGACTGGTCCTAATGCACCTGGATGAGAGCATCCAAATGCATGTGGAGTGTTGTCTAGTGGAGCGAGGCCCTATGTTTATAGCTGCTTGGTACGGCTCTCCTTACCTCGTTCGTGTTTCTCACACTGGATTTCATGTGCTTTCACTTGCACTCCCTCTTTCGACGAATGTTGTAGTCACGTGCCTCTTTGTGTCAAGGAGGTGGCGTAGATGATTTGCCTGATCCTTTCTGTGTTCTTACATCCTTTTCCGATCGCAAGTGAACTGTTTACGTCTGTTCAGCAGCCATGCGTCTGTCTCGGCATCAAGCGAACGTGTCAGCTAACTACCGTCGTCTTGTTCTATTGCGGCTCGGCTGCTACAGATCCGTGTGCTGTCTACGTCTGTTCAGCAGCCATGCGTCTGTCTTGGCATCAAGCGTACAAGTCGGCTAACTACCGACGTCTTCTTCCGAATAGAACGGGTTTCATTATAGTCGTATTTGGCTCGCCAGTCAGTCCAGATGCAGCGAAAATGACCGTACGTTGTATTCCGGGGGAAGAAGGTAGCTTGTCAAGACACGATGGAAGTTACAACATCTGGTTATGGTGAGTGTAGTTGTTAAAAAATG